CGAATTATTGCTAATTGCTAACTTTGAATACACGCGATTTCATGAATATGGAGCTCCTCGAATCATGACAAATGATTATTGATCAAGCCAAAATCATACCAGCAGATCATTTTTGAAATGTCACTGCGAGTTTCTCAAACGATTGGCACTTTGTTGAGAAGCTAACGGTCAACATTTGATTCATTGATGAATCTCACCTATTATCACTTCGAGGTTCCAGTTTATCAGAAAAAAAAATCATTAGTTTCGTGAAAGCAAAATCATCCCCGGTAAGCTTGAAAAGCTTGAGGAGAGGAGGAAAACAAGAAATACCTTTTGAATAACGGGGATTTTCATTCCCCATTTAATCGTTAGTATCAGGACCATTTCGATCCAATGGCTGTTGACGGGTGAATTTCCAATTTTGCCAATTTGCCAACATAAAATATTAACCATTCTTTTAGGATTCAACGTTTATCGGTATTAATTTTTTCAAATTCTTCGTTGCAGTATGTAATAGTAATATCATGTTTTGGAAACTGGAATCTAAATGACGATATTGATCTAGATAAACATAAATTAATATTAGTTTAGATTGCGTATGGATGCTCAAAGATCAAGAGAATACTTCTCGTATTGATTCCGGATTAATATTAATAATAATAATAATAAATGGCTTTATTGTAATTCAAGAGTTTACAAGTAACAGGCACAAAATAGTTAGCAAATATTTAAGAATCACAAATGGCGGAGTTGAAGCACAGCTTCCTATCTCAACCAGAGTATAGATATTACATAACGGAATACAGAATATTACATCGAATATGTCAATGCAATGACAGTCATTAGACTAGCACGGGTGCTAGTACAAAGAAAAAATATAAAAATACAATAACATAGAGAATATAAAAAAGTGGAAAGCATAAAGTATAAGCCGAAGTATAAGGGAGATGGACAATTCAAAAGTTAAACACATACAGGGTGTCCCACTAAGGTCGGCCAGGTACGATAATATGGAGACCATAGACCTTACGTAACTTGAAAACGAATGCTATGATATTGAATTGCGGTTTGCGCCAGAATGTAGATATTTTTTTGCTCTTTAAGCACAGCAAAAAATAATATTATGCCATTTGGATTTTTCATGAAAATTAGAAAAAACTGGATCTTGAATAATCAGCGCCCTCTAAAAGACGCGGTGGGAACTATCGACCTCGAACGAGTGGTGTTCTTAATAACAATGAAATTCTCTTCCAAATAAACCCAAATTGAATGAGTTTGAATGAGGGGAATGGAAGATACAGCAATTTCTAAAAAAAAAAATTCACCAGCTTCCGCCACCCTTATTATTGAAGATACGAAAAAACCCTGATAACCAAACTGGCGCAAAAATTAATGAACTTTTGATTTCTGTTGTTAAACAGTATCTTGATATAGCGATTTCTTGAGAAAAGTTTAATTTTTAGCTATATCATCGTAATTGCGCCCCCTAGCGGTCATCCTAGAAACTTGAAAATAATTTCCATCAATTTCTCTTGGCCGATTTAGTGAAGAAAAAAAAAATCCCGAAGCCGTAAGGTCTATGGTTTCCATAATATCGTACCTGGCCGACCTTAGTGGGACACCTGGTATATACAGGCCGGAGAGACAATGAGTGACGGTGCGAGAACTTTAACATTTTGCTTGACAAATTGCTTAAAATTGTAATCAGAGGCTGTTTTGTAATCAGCAGGGATTTAATTGTACATTTTTGATATTTGGTAGCTAAATGATCTCTCATACATGGATGTAGCATGCGTGGGAGGAGTTATTGTAAATTTGTGTCCCCTTACGCGCCAGGTAAAAACTGATATAGGATTCTGGATTTTTATTTACTTCATTAATAATGTGTTACATGGTCAGTAAGATTTGCTGCAATTTTAATTTTTGTCATTTGATGGGAGCTTCTTGTTCGGGTCGTTTCTTTTTGGCTACGATGGTAATGACTTCACATTTTTGAGTCACTTGGCCAGGTTTTTATGTCTAAAACATCCAGAATTTGTTTAGCTTAATTTTCCGTATAGTACGGTATCAATCAATCAATGAATCAATATATGCTTTATTGTAGGAAAAATAAAATTCTCATTTACAAAGCGGGCATCTATAAGCTACACAGGAATACTTAAAAAATACTTAGCTAATAAAATCACAAAAAAAAGAAGAAAAAAAATTACAAATAAGAACACATGTATAAAAAAAAAATAGAAACTATAAAAGGGTCATAAAATTACAAACCACATAAAAACATAAATGAAACATAAAACAAAGCAAAATGAAAAATGAGCAAAAAAAAAGAAAAACACCGTCATCAGGCTAGATTATTACTACAGCACTCCAACTCCAGTAATATGATCATTGAAGTACTCATTAACACTATAATATGCTTTAGCCTGCAATAACAATTTCTTCTATACTATATACAGTATTCTCTATACTCCTATGACAATGGTAGGTAGGTGATTGTAAATCTTAAGGCTCTCATATATCACAGATTGTTTAGTGAGTGAGTACTCTATGGTTTTGGTAATTTTAAAGATACCTCATTTCGACCATATTGATTACACAAATAAGGTGAAATTCTATGCCTCTTGTGTATCATTGCCACCGTTTCCAATATAAAAACGCAGAAGAAGTCAGTAATTTTTCACTTATAAAAAGAGGTCTGCGATGCTCTTGAGGTTTCGCTCCACACAAGTAACTTGAAGAACGTTTTTGTAATTCAAAAACAGAGTGGATATGACACTGAGCACTCAAGCCCCAAAAGGGAATACCATACCTTATGTTAGACTCTATCAAGGAGGACTACACATTTTTCGCCATGGAATGACCCAAGTTGTTTGATACAATTCTCACAGTAGAAGATGCAGATGAAAGTTTTTTATTCAACTGTAATATATGTTCTGAAAACTTTAATTTGGTGTTAATATGTAAGCCCAGAAACTTTGGAATTGGTCTATTTTCAATAATGATGCTGTCCAGTAAAGATACATCTGGAATCGTGTATTTAAATGTGAGGACGCTGGTTTTACTAACATCAAACGACAGAGAGTTAGAATCACACCATTGTTTCACTACCCTATATCCGCTGATACTCTGTTTTTCAATGTGTGTGTGTCTTTTTCCCTCCACAAGATTGTTGTGTCGTCGGAAAACAATGTAAAACGACCACTAATTCCAATAGATACAGTGTCGTTAATATATATTAAAAACAGGAGTGGGCCAAGCACTGAACCCTGTGGAACTCCATAATCAATACCAAGTGCAGCAAGTTTAGTTGCACCACACTTCACCACCTGATTCCTTTCTGAAAGGTATGATTTGAACCAAACCCAAGTAACCCCTCGGAATCCATACACATAAAGTTTTCGCAGCAGCAATTCGCGATCCCCACAGTCGAACGCCTTCGACAAATCGCAAAAAACTGCCGCAGCCACCTCTCCTACATCAAGACCCAGATACAAGTGTTCGAGGAAACTGAACATTGCATCACCTGTGCTCCTGCCTGCTTGAAACCCGAACTGAAAGCAGTTCTGTTTAAAAAGGAGATCATACGCTTTTTAACAATTGTCTCGATTACTTTTGAAAGGGTAGGTAAAACAGAAATAGGTCGAAAATGAGAAGAGTCATCCACTTTTATAAACAGGGCTAAGTGCAGTCTTCAAGCTTGAAGGAAAATTGCTAGTTGGAAATGAATGGTTGATCACTGACACAAGTGCAGCCATAGCAGTATGAGGCTAATTGAGGAAAACCACAGACATATCATCAACTCCAGCAGATATTTTGTTTTTAATCTGCGAAAGAACAAGTTCTCCTTGACCACTTCCTCAATGTCAGTATCACTCAAGCAGAAGGACTCCTGAACAGATATATTCTCAAGAAAGGTTAATGGATCAATGGATGTAATGGTATGCAATGGTATGTATCATAACAATGTTCTTTCACGTCGAAAGGATTCCCAGATTTTTTCCAGTATTTCTGGTAAATGTTGTGTTTTTCGTTGTTGGCTGTTGTGGCTTTCGTGATATTACTCAATGCTTGGTATTAATTTTTTATCCATTTTCCTGTTGATAAATCAGTATAGATAGCGTTGTGTCTTTTTTCTGGTATCCTAAATTATAACGGGCGGCTAGATTGGACTGTATTGGACAGCGTGAGAGAAATTTATCATCTGAAATAACCTTGAGCTACTTGATCGAATAGTCGAGACTCAGACTGGGAGACTGAATTTTTCTTAGAATAAGATTTAATTGACGAACTGGTAGTTACAATAATTTTTAATTTGAGAGTCATAAAACTTGACATGAAAGTAATTCTAATCTTATTGACTCCTCAAAAAAGTACTTACTTGGAAGGGTATGATAGTAAAATCTTGAGGAAATGAAAATTTAAGTAAAAAAGAAAACTTATGATAGCTGTAACCAAGCTGACTTTTTTCTAGTGTAAGGTTTCCCTCATTTGTATTCATCAGAGTCAAGGAATTTGCTTGAAATTTCCAGGAAAAAGTTTTTGCTTGCTCTACTTTATATAGATTTAAGTTGAGATTGGTAAATCTCTGAAGCATGGATTTAGTTTATGGATGGAACTTTTTTTTTGAAAAATCGCTCTGTCTCAAATACAAATAATATGTCGAAGGCATTTCGATTAATTTTCATATAGACCCCCTTTGAAAATAAAAAAACCTTAAATCAAGAGGTAGGGAATCGAAATACCTATGTGCCAATGTATTTTTTTCTGTCCTAGTCTTATTTAATCGCCGGTATTAGGCCATTTAAAACAACTACATAATTGCTCATAGCAGCTAACTTTTTGATTATTGCGAATTGGGTAAAATAACACAGTATTATTTCTAATTTTGGGTTTCTCAAACAAAAAAAAGTCCAAATTACTTCCCGACAAATATAAATCACAGTATAGGATAAATTTTCCATCGTAAATTTTCAGATTGTTCAAATAATAAATATTTGGTTTGATTTTCGTTGCAGATTATGTACAGCTGCTAAAAGACCTCCCGTTGAAGAAACCGGAAGTTTCCTGAAATCTTTATTAGCAAGTCATGGGCCTAACTACTTGGAAAAACTATTTGGCAGTAAGGCAAGAGATGCATTGAAACCATTGGGAGGAGTTGACAAAGTTGCTATTGCTTTATCAGGTAATATACATTCATAGTATCTACTTGCCCCCTTATTTATTGAATTAAACTAGCTTACGGAAAATACAAATTCCCAACTACCATTGCAATGCAAATATAATAAGTTTGAAATCAAAATAGGGAGGTCTCAGTAGTTGTGGAAATTTTAATCGGAAGCTTGATTCTTCTCTTGATAAAGTCGCTGACTTTTAAATACCTCTTCTATGTCTGATGGTTTCACTAAAATGCAAATAAAGCTTACGTTACTTTAGGAGGAAATAACTTTTTAAAATGTTTGTAACGTTTTTAATTACTTTGGATTAAAAAAAATATTATTGTTTACGGCAGCTGTTCATCAGAAAGCATTTATGGTCGTGTTTAAGGAGAGTTTACTGAGGGCGCCACGAAGTTTTTATTTATAAGGTCTCAAACTTTGAAAGAGACCTCAATATAAAATCTGAAAGATTAAGTATAAAAAGAAATAATACAGCAACGCTCTCCACTTAATTATGTTTAATAAAAGTTCAATGGAAAATTACAAAATCTAGGATGTCAGAATCATAAATGTAAGAATAATTTGATTCCAACCCAGTACTACACTTACCTAAATATTATTGTGTAAAATAATAATAATGATCGATCATTTTATTTTAAATGGCACCCTTTCTACTGGTCTATCTGTCACAGGAACTCATATGCTCAACCGGACAGTGAACTGAACATAGAAATGAGACATTGCAATTATTATTGCTCAATAAAAAATATACAATATTAAATGACCTCGTTGGGTCTATCTGCTCTGAAAATTCACATGCTCAGCCGAAGAGCGAACTGAACATGGAAATCAGACATTCCAATTTGATAATGCTCAATAAAAAATATAATATAAAAGGTAAAATTTAAACGTAAAGAAACTTGTGGTCACTACTTCCAAGTCGAGGTGTCATCAAGGACGATAGGCACTATCTATCAGGTTCAGGTACCATGAAAATGACCTCACAAGTAGGGACACAGGAAGTTTAAGGAAGCATGCCGTCTTTATTGAATTGGATCAATACTAAGCCTGGATGTAGGAGTAGGGCCCTATCAGAAAACTAAATTACTGATGGTCTCTTTTTTATTAAAAGAAAGGTGAAATAGACACAAAGCTTGCCTACTGATTAAGTTTATAATAATACACAAAAATACATGACTCACACTGAACAAGGGGCTCCTATACCATGATTTGGCACTTAATACTGGCACTGGCATCACCAGAGGTGGTTGCAGATAGGCTGGAGAGATAATCATAAACTTACGGGATGTTCAAGATAAAAAAGGATTTATCACATACCTGGCATGTTCCAATAAAATCACCAAAAAAAGTGGCCGAGTGAACGAATAACTATTTCTTCAATTAGCCATAAATGTATTCACCCCTTCAAGAGACTTTCAAGAAAACTAAGCACGTTGGCCACAAAACAAAAGAGCTCGCTGACGTCGACTGGCTTAACCAAGCTATCAAGAAAGAGTGCCCGTCCTAAAGCAAGGCCGTGCGCAATTCAAAAAATTGCAGGATGAAGCTAGCCGAAAAAGGTGGCGTTAGCGACCGGAACGATTCGTATTATTCAAAAGGGAGAAAATCAATAAATAGAAATGGTATGGTGCCACCTGAATGGAAGTAGTACTTACATAAAAATCAGGTTGTCTCCTAATTGCAATCTAAACCTAAATTTAAATGGAAATAAGTATAGGTACTTGCTTTAAATGCATTACAATAATTGATATATACAGCAATACTGGTGATTACAATTATAAACACCTAAAATATAATAAATTTACATGCTTAAAATAATAATAAAAGGACAGAGTAGCTTAATTGCTACATGTTCCTCATTCGAATTTTGCAGTATCAAATAGCTGCAGGTCTATAGAGACTTTTTATTTAAAAACTCATTCAAAATTATGTTCAAAAGACTCACAAATCAAACTTTGTTCCATGCATTCACACACGAATTGCGAATCTCTCGAAAAAATTTGAAAGGCAGGGTGTATGTTTGAAAATCAGTCACTAAAAAAAGGCACAAATATCAAACTCGGGCTAGTTCGTCAGACATTAAAGTGGTTATTCGATACTTACTAAAGAACAACAGCGGTGGAGACATAAAAAGCCATTTCTTTACCTGTGAGGTGAAAGTGAAAGAATTTAAAAAGGAAATCCACCCAGGAGATTTATTGATAGAAAAAATGGTCAAAATTCGGAAAAATTGATGGGACAATATTCAAAGATCTCCGGCGGATTCTGTGACTCAGATCGATCAAAATTACCAGAATTATCTAGATAATGGAAATCAATCGGAAAATGATTATAATGCAAGCGCTCTGAGGAACTCCTTATCAGAGGTCGATGAAAATAGCCATGCAGATCTATGTTATATTATGGAGTAGTCCGCTCGGACTCGTACGATTCAGTCCACCGGTATTTACCTCGGTGTCCAAATCCAAATGGACCATCCGACACGTTAGGTTGGATAATCGAGAGTCTACTGTACTTGACTTGATAAAATTCAATATTCACTTATCACTATTCGAAACGTACACGACAAATATCGAATAAAAACTGACTCACTTGGCTACTACTACGCGCTATTTATAGCGGACAGTGTACTCTCGGGATTTATCTTGAAAAAACCACAGCCCTATGCTTGAATAGAATTCTCCAAATTGTTTGGGCGACGAGCAGATAATGAAATTCTCAGAATACGGTCGGGCAACCGAGGCAATTTCATAACAATAATCAGAAATATGGATGATTTTGGAGTACCTAAGAGAAACTTGTTGGCATAACGTCTGAAGAAGCAAAGAATATTTCTGAATCATCGCCAGACAAATGATTTTCATCATGGTTGCGTTCAATAAAAGCGACAAGGCTCAAACAGGAATTGGGTATCCAGAAGATGTACCAAAAGATGCAATTTATCGTATAAGTTTAGACCAGAAAAAAAAACCTAATCAAAATTATCATTCAAATCAATGAATTTTGTTTGATATATTAAATGTTAATGTTGTATGAGATATTTCACAAATGAGGTCTCCATCGCAATTCCGCTTGAAGCCTTTATGTTAAATCCTTTAAAATGCTCGGTGTACACTATTTTGGACCACCAATAATGGAGACTACTGGTAGAAGAAGAGAAATAACTAACGATATACTTATATGAGTACAAAAACTGAACAATTCATATGGAAATTGTAGCATCCTCAGTTAGAGACTCTAATTATTGCCATTAGATGATTTGCTGGACAGAGAGGAGACCATTATAAAAAGATCTTCTTTGATAATAAAAATAATTTAAAGGGAGGTGAAAAGGAACATAGAACTGCCACTGGCTTATTTATACCAAGAGAACTTTGGAAAACTGCCCAATTTCCATCGATCATTTCTGATGCAGGCGAATAAGAGAATATCGAAGAGAATATTTACCAGTATCAAGTGAACGAACCAAACCAAAACAAAGAAAAATTGAATCCGAAAAATCGGAGATAATAGTAGAAAATGGAGATTTTCGTAGGAATGCATGGCTGCAGGATGCCATTACCAATTCATATATTGGTGATCTGATAACCAATTCATTTACACCCTAAATATTAACTGATCATAAAATCTTTCTCAAAATCCTGCAATTTTGAACCACGAGCTCTCCGATTATAGGCTTTTACTATGAAATTTATAAGGAGCTTATCAAGATCTACATTTCAGACTACATAAAGGCAGCAACAGGGGAGCTTTGTCGCTTTTTAGGGATCATATTTAGCCCTAGGAGGAATAATATACGCATTATTATGTTACTTTGGAAGAGCAACAAATAACATTTTCTGGAGCTAGCTAGTTTACAAAAAATATACAAAAGAGTGGTGAAAACAAAACAAATGCATATTTTCAAATAATGGCTGCAAAATATATGAAATCGAAAATATTTACAATAAACAGAAAATTGTTGAATTCACTTAAAAATAATTATACATTTACATTTCGATAAAGTAGGCAAATAACATGGCCCGCAATACATGGAATCCTGGATTTCTGTGTTTTTCCCGTATATTGTACCTTAGATCAATAGAAGTTCACTCCTGAGTGAAATTTTTGTGGCTGTGAAGAGTAGGCAGAAAAACGAGTCCTAAAGTGGATTTTTGCCGTGCATAGATGAGAGCAATATTTGGCATATATTTTTCCAACAGAGAGTGGAAATTACGCCAAAGAAGCATTTTTTTTTCAACCAAGTTCAGACAGGCTTTTGGTGTTTACTGGGCTATAGCATTTTTTGTTAATAAGCCCCACTAGTCCGTAGTAACTGATTTTTGACATTGCAGTGATGTCGCTTTCTGCTTAACTTATTAGTTATTAAAAAAAAAAATAACATAAAAATTGATTTGTTCAAAGCAGGCTTTTATCCAATATTAGTTATACAGTATGATCCACATTCTCTCTGCGTGTAAGTAGTTTCCCTAGTAAGTATAATTTAATTTTTTCTCTTAAATCTGTTAAATTCTTGATATATACACAGAGGGTGTTTTCTAATCGAATGTCAATATTTGAGGGGGCGATTCCATTTCAAGAAGAAATTTTCATCCGTACGTATGTCCTAAACGTCTTAACCTTTGAGATACAGCGGGATAAAGATTCCAAAAATAAATCATTTAATATTAATATCTGTAACACTACTTTAGACATTCTAATAAAATTTGGCATACATGTTCTATGTAGAGGTTTCAAGAGGCATTTTTAAATGTACCACATTTTTTTTTTCAATTTCCACTAGTGGCGTTCGTACGGAATATGACCTGCCTATTTAGCCAGACATTGATGGTACGCCACTGATTTCTCTCAAAATAAAAATTATTCTTGAAATCCCCAATAATTTCCAACCAAAGTTGATGATTTGATTTTTTACAATCCGATGCACGGTTTTCGCTTTAAAAAAAACGTTTCTCTGCATGATCATAATATACTGGGTGTATCAGGTATGATTACCAATATTTTA